TGATTAATAATTTGATGTATAACAAAAGATATTTATTTTTAATTTGCTTAAAATCTAAGGATCTGCGCTTGAAAGCCATAAATCAAAAGCGATTAATTAGTAATTATATAAATTTATCGACAATGCACCTAACGATCGTTTTCCCATATACTATATGCCAGCATGGTAGTCGTTTTAAAATTGTTCATCTACTCCTTGTTTTATGCACATTCCTCCAGAAAATACCAATTTTGCAATTTAAACTTGAATAATGTGCCACCAAAACCACATACAGTCCCAACCGCATGGATAGAATCCATCAATGCTTGTACATAGAACACTAAATATGCACACCCATGTATAAACATTTACATGCATATATATATATATATATATATATATATATATATATATGTATACAAATGTAAATTTATGCGGTGCACAATAACTAGAGGCCAGTCCACAAGCTATATTTATATTAAGCAGGACAACAAACACTTTCAACCTCTCTCTAGTTATTCACCATAGTGCGTATAAAAAAATAGAATGGATTGGGACAGATAGAGAAAGATATACAGAGAGAGAGAGAGAGAGAGAGAGAGAGAGATACACTTATACATATGTATGAAAACGTGTAGATCGATTCTTTTTTCTCCGTTTTTTATTCTTAGTTTATTAATATTGGTTTTGTTGGTTATTGTCGCCTTGTAATTTTTACAGGTTGTTTTTATTGTTTGTTGTTGAAGTGCACATTAGCCCGGAAATTGCATTGAATGCACAAAGAATTGATTTTTCTCTTATATAAAGAGAAGAACGTTTTTGCTTATATAAATAATAATGAAAACAAAGAAAACACATACATAGCCATATATGAAATATATGTATAATTGTTTTTTTTACACATATATACATGTTGGCTTATGTTGCAGTCGTTAAATGTATGCGTTGCAATATTAGGTATTTGCAAAAATTTTTAACATTTTGTTACTTAAAAAAAGCGTTTATTCTGGAAAATTGGTCAAAAATATATAAATTAAAATAGTTCCCATAATTTTTTACAGCATTTTGAAATATTTTTGGTCTCATGGCGATATCATGTCGACGGCACTTCGTCAACTTTGCGGACCCGCGTGCCAGCCAAGCCGTGCGGTATCGAACTGAACAATTGGTAATCAACACGCGCCATTTCTAGTGAGTGTGCAGCACGGTGTGGCAGAAGTTTCCACTCGAGCTGTAACAGTGTATCCTAGCCAACTCTAGCAACAAGTGGCCAAAAAAGGGAATTTTCAGCCAATCCTTGCCGCCAATTTTAAACCGTTGCAACCAAAACCCACAGTTGGGATATGATGGAGCAGGATCGCAATAAGCCTATGCACGTGTTTGGTGAATTTCGGCAGCATATTTCTTCAAGTAAACGACAAAAATAATGAATTTGGGGGAAGAATATTGATCGCTCCATGATTTAACCGTTATGTATACTGGTATTCCCCATTTCTTCATAATTTTTACCTGTAGAAATCGCTGATCAACATTTTTGCAAACATCTAATGTATATACATAATGCGCTATATGTGTACATGCACAATTGGTATAAGCATTCATACATGGTCTCACTAATCCGTATTTATACTGGATGAGTTATTATAAAAGGGCTCCATCAATTATTGCTGTGCCAATCCCTCAAGCCTCTACGAAATTTTAAGAAATTATTCCTGTTTTTTTATTTAATATATTAAAAATAAACAGAAGAAAATGTAAGATATCGTTTTAAATAAAATTAAAATAAATAAATAATGAAAAAAAATTAATTTTACATATTTATTCGTATACTTAGCGTATGTTTGTGTGAAACAAAATTAAAAAGTTTTAACAATCTCATTTTTACAGCATTTAAACTAAATTGAAGAACAGAAGCTGATTAGGGAGAGAATAGAAGGCGTCTTTTAAATATAAATATATTAATAAATAATCCTGCGTATAATGTTTATACAAACGAAAGAGCTAAACACCTAAAAAAATTGTAGTGAATCTAATCACAACGTATTCCTCATATTCTTGTTAGTTGATGGAGAGGATATTTGGAATCCGCATTGGCACCATTTGTAGCATAAAAAGGATGGCATATACGGAAGTTAAAAGTAAGTACGAATAAGGTGACGTATAATTTATTTATTGATATTTGTTAATAAATAAAATAATGATCAATGTAAAATTGATAGGTGGAAATCAACTGCATGGAATTTGAAATAGTTTTTCAAGTACAATAAATCGTTCTTTCATTCTCGCAATCTCTGCGTAAAGATAAAACCTAATAAAACAGTAAGACGAAGAAAAACTGGGAAACTTTAGGAAGAGAAAGAAATTCATAACTAAAATAATTTATTTTTTCTAGTTCTAGTTCTCTAGAACTTATGTAAAAGCTTATACTTGATATGTGAATAGGCAGAGTTGAACATTCGTGATGTTGTCCCTGCTGGTGGTTGATATTTTTGGAAAATGAAAGAGAAATGTTTTTTTTCCTTTCATTTCATATCTACACAAGAATAACTGAAGAATAAGAAGAATTTCCAAATAACATTATCCCTGAAAAGCGAAACGCAGCAAAAACCCATATCTAAAAGTTTTGACAAATATTAGCATTTCATGCTTCCAATTGCCACACCATGGATTCATAGGCAAACACATGTTTACACAAAAGTTACATGCGCAACCATATATATGTATATATTTATACATATATATGTATATATCTAATTCAATTGTACGACATTCATCGCTATGCGTAATCAGCCATCTAGGCGTTCATCGACTTATTTTTAAAATAAACACAATCTCTTCTCATAAAAATTAATAAATTAAAATACTAAAAAACAGTCAAAAACCACACATATATACGTTCTTATATGCGTGTATATTTAAGCGTGTTTATGGGTGCGAGTGTGCAAGCGTGTGTATATATACATTTTTTCAACTTTATTCCTGTTTAAAAAAATATCATAAAAGTGGAGAAAAAATCTAAAAAATGATTTTTATTTTTTACGGAAAAACTTTGATGCTGCAGTCGTGTTGTTGTTGTTTTTTGTTTTATCCTTTTTTTTTTTCGTAACGAACTTACAACTGGGAGCACAACAGCAGTTCAATTAGAAAGGAAAAGAAAGTTTTTTTTCATTTTTCTCTTACTATATATACACATATGTATGTCGACGAGAAAAAGAAAGCGAAACATTAAGAAATAAACTCACAGGATTTTTTGAGTGGACGTGTGCATAGACAACTAATAGCAAGAAAGCAATGAGTAAGAAGAAAAGAGAGAGAGACAGAGTAAAATTATTAAAAGAGAGGGGAAAAGGGAAAGGGCAATGAATGATAGATAGATAGAGAGAATGGATAGAGTGAGCAAACATTATCTTGATAGCAATAGGAATACATTCAAACGTTCAGTTACACGAACAACTTGCCTGTTGTGTGCATATTACTGTACGTGTGTGTTGGTATTTTTTTGGATAAAAAATCATGCTGGTAAATTTCTATGAATTTAAGTAATTCCTCACTTCAAACATCAGAGAAGGATACCTTTAAATATTTCTAGGTTTAATTTATATTTGAATTTTTTATTTATTTTTATTTAAGCCTAATATTAAGCGCTATACAAAGCGTTGCGATTCTAACGGAAACTTGATTGTTTTATTCTCTCTCTAGCGTTGGTACTATGCGAACCACTCAGTGAATAGCACTGCAGCGAGAAATTTCGTTTATGATCCTACATTTCTATCTAATCCTTTTGGAATTAAGATCGAACCACTAAACGGTGATTTTTACGGTAACATAATAAAACTTATTTAAAATTTCTTAGGAGATGTATTAATAAATTATTTACAGAAAATTGTATTTATAATGTTTCTTTTGGTCTTATCTGAATATGACAATGCAACGCTTTTGAATCGATTTTCGCAAATTTTCTGCTTATAAGAGGAATGCTAATAAAAAAGGCGGACTTTTTATTTTTTTTTGGAAAATATTTGTTTATTTATCAATACCTATTTTTTCTCCTTCAAAGTAATCCCATTTAAATATAAAACACTTGTGCCAGCGCTTCTACCAATCTTCTAAACACTTCTGATGTGCGCTTCTTGGTATAGGCTTGAACTCTTCTACCGGTCTTCATCTCCTTAATCATGGCAAAACTTCCTCCTTTCATGGATCTTTTCAGCTTTGGGAACAGGAAAAATCACAAGGTGCCAAATCAGATGAAGATCGAGGATGAGGCATAATTACGATGCAATTTTTGGCCAAGAAATTACCAACAGGTGTGACGGGTGAGCTGGCGCACTTCCCGCATGCCGTTCCATAATCAAAACATTCGACATCCCCACTTAATTTTATTTTTCATACGAAATTTTCTACAGATTCTTTGATCCACTTTTTCGATACCAAAAAAATGCCGAGCATACCAAAACGTGTCCAACTTTTATATCTCTCAAAAACAAATTAAAAATTCAATATTGTTGATAATGTGTAGATATGTTGGGAACATGTGTACCAATAATACAAAAAAAAAGGGATCCGAAAATCGGGACGTAGTCCACGAAATTTGAAAAAGTCATTTTTGTTTTGAAGCAGGCTTACAAGCACGTTACCCTTCTCGAACATGATACGGGTCAGGCGTCATGAATGTATATCTGGTATTACCATTTCTTCGGAAATTGGCGTCTTAGAAAGTCGCATAATTTTCGTAGACACAGTATAGTATAAAATTAATAAAAAATAAATAAAGTTATATGCGCTTTCTAAGAAGTGATGTAGATTCGCTCACTATCTTAAACTAATTTACGAAAATTTTAAGTTATTTTTTGCTTGTGCTTACATTGCTCTGACAAATATTTGTGTTTAATATTTTAAATATATTTTGTGCTTGTAGATGCGCATAGATGCGGGGGGATCATCCGCAAATTCGTACATTTGATCTTTTCCTATCAGATAAGGATATAACACATCAAGGCAATGTTTTAAAATTTCGTCATTCAAACCCAGTTATACTGCTTTGTCAATTTCACCATTAATCCTTTGTCACTTTTCAAGATAGTCGATGCGTGCTGTATACTATGCGTAACCCAAAATACGGACACCATTACCATCCCAACTGATTTTTGCGTGTTTAGTCGCTTTGGACGGCTTTCGCGCGTTGCTGCCAGAGATTTGATTCTGAGGTGTGGTGATAAATCCATGTTTCATTCATTGTCGAATATCACATAAAACAATTCTGTTTACTTACCCTAGACAGCGCCAAACAACGCTCTGACTTATCAAGACGGTGTTGTCAAAAGTGAGCAAACATGGTTCCCTCTTCGAACAGAACTTTCTTGCGGGCAAATGTTCATCCGAAATAGTAAGCACGCTTCCCTCTGAAATAGTTAAGATATCACATGTGTCACGGCACTTCACTATTTTGTCTTCGACGACTATTTTGTGCACTTTTTTATGCTTTCGGGAACAATTGCTGAATATGGGCAATCAGAACGTTCAACATTTTCCGTGTCCACACTAGTTTGTTTAAGTCAATGCTGATTGGTAACGGTATTTATTCTTTCAAAGTTTTCAAAAAGGATCATTTAAAAAACAAACAAGGCTTCGATTTTTTTATTGTTTTGAAAAGAACAAGAGTAATTTAGCTAAAACAACTATAACCCGCAAACTAATGGGCGGAAAGTCATGAAATAGTGACGTGGTTCAGTGGAAGATTGGTGCTATCAAAAAACCATATAGAATTTTCAATAGTGGTGGTATCTATATTGTATTCGTACATATGTCGCCTCTTAACCACCTTTTTAACAAACGACGGTAAACAATTCGATGGACGGTTGAATAAACAGTAGTTTAATCATGCAAGGTGTAGTCGTGGCAAGAAAAAAACCAACCTCGTGCCATTATTTCCCCTTGGTAGAAATTGAAAAAGATCTCATAAAGTCTACTTAGACTTCCCAATCCTGTTTCGTACTGCTTTTAAAATTTTTATTTTAATTTACAGAAGAGCGCATTAAAGCATCTTTTGCAGTCAAGTTGACATAAAATGTAGTATGCGAGATATCTTATATTGAAATTTAGAGCTATAGTCGTGAACTTACGTACCAACGACAACTATTGTCAAACTGTAATTAATGATTTTTCTAAGTTGAAGTTATTATCATGTTGTGATCGTCAAAACAATTGCCCGATTGCATGCAATAGGAATCTTGCGCTGTTCTGTGGATAATCTTAGTTGTTAGTGACAAATTTTAAATCGTTGTTTTGACATAACATCGGTTACTAAGGTATTGCGTGCTACAACCTTTTACTCTTTGATATCCGATTCATTTACTTCTGTATTTGAAAGTTGTAGTCGCTAAAAGACTCATAATTTTTTCTTTACTATGCAAGATTTATATGCCGCAACGGATATACATTGTATACAGAGTCGTTTTCTTGCAGACATTGAAGAAATTGCAGTACGCATAATATAAGTATGTACTTAGTTCCCATGATTTATTACGGGGGGCTGCCACCTGCTGGACGGTAATCAAGCTTCATAGCTAGTTGTATGATGGTATTTCTTAGTTTGCTAGTTAACGTCGCTGTTAAATTTTTGTTTACAAACAATATTACATACGACAAGAAATTTACAATTTACTGAGTATAGTTACGCTTAACACAAGCTGATGCTAAGAGTTAACGAAATTTTCCTTAGTTTCTATCGGTAAGTAGCATGAATTGCTTTTAAAAAAAATTAAAAACACTTCATATACGATCTTAATGTACCGCGTAAAACAATTAGTGCTTATGGCCCAGTTAAGAGAATCGGTAACCTTGCGGATTAAGCTAACGTCACTTTACCTATTTCAAGAAATCAATGTGCTTTCATTGCGTTAGAAGATGCATTGAATCTTTGAATCAAATGTTTCTCCGAAGAGAAATTACAGAATGATTTGTTACTTCTCTCATACATTAACAACTATATATTTGGAAAGTGTTTGTTTAAAACCGTTTTCAAACAAAAATACGTTAGTGTATTGAGAGTGAGTCGGACGATGTCAGGTTTGAGATGAAGTTTTTGAAGTCAAACTTTCTAGTCAAAGATCTTCGACGAACGAGAAAAAGGACAAATATAGGAGCAGAACAGGAGATTTTTATGGCCCTAGGATGGCAGAATAATTACAAAAATTAGTAAGAAAACTTATCGCAATCATAGGCTCTCAAAATTTTAGACGCATTCCTCTAGATAGATATTTTTTTCTGATCGACAATTGACGGAAATTAAAGGGTTTCGGCGAAATTCCTCATGTTAAGCATACCTTACAAGAATCGCTTCGGTGTTGCCGTTGTTTTATGTTTTTTTCTTTAAATTTCATTATGTACGTAAAACCTCATGAAATATAATTATATTTTTGCCTTTCCTTTTATCTCTTCCTTCCTTCTTTCTACTAGAGCAGCATTACTTTTTAATATGCCAAGGTTGTAAGGCTGTAATCGTTAGGGATCGTTCCCTTGTTTTATCCATCGGCGTATTAACACATATATAGTATCGTATGCATTGGTCTGGTTAAAAAGTTTTGTTCGATTTGGTATAAAATTATTTAAGAAAACTTTTGTGCATTTTTATATACTTTTCTCTCGTTTCCTCACATTCATTCATTCCGTCTTCCTTTCAAAGCAATAAGATTGAAATAAAAGCACAACACAGCATTTTGGAAAACTAACCATAACGCACATACCCTCAGTTATACATTTATACACCGACCCCTGCACATGTACTTAACAAAAAAATTATATGTGGACTTGAAAAATCAACTGCAATCTCAAAAGTTGTTTCCTTCAACTGTTCAAATTCAGTGAAAGCCAAAAAAAAAAAAAAAAAACAAATTTTAAAAAGTTGTATCAAACATAACAACAACAAGAGCAAGAGCAAGCCAACAAACATATTATTTAAACTGGAACAGGCGAACTGTACAGCTGCTAGCTTCTTATTCGTCCTCCATTTTTGACTTTATCGAACTAAACGCAATACATGGATGTGCATATGTTGACAATGAATTCTTGAATGAATTGGAAAAAATAAAAAGTTCTTTTTTAAGTTTTCAAGCGAAGAGAAAGAGACTGAGTTCTATATGTTATCATGTACGTACGTTTGTGTGACTGATTGCCTGTGTGTGGGTGGCTGTGTGTTTGCTTTTCGAGATAAAAGATTAGATTACAATCAATTCTAAGGAAACTGGTTTGCTAGTTCCAGCTTTATAATGTTGCTGTTTTTGTTGTTGTGTAAAAAAGTATAAAATAAGGATTTTTAAAGTTAATTTTATTTTGTTGATGCTGAAGGAAAGGCCACAAAATGAACAGATGTTTCACTGTTAAAATCACACTTAAAACAAAATAATTTAAAGTTCATTTAAAGGATTTGGATACATTGTGGTCGATATTGGCAGCAGGAGAGAGATAGATATAGCAAAGAAAGCTAACTAAAGAAAGAGAGACGAGATGAAAAAGTTAGGGTTGACTGGAGTGCATTACAGATGATATAATGCACCGAAAATGAATAAATTCATTTAAAATTGCCTTTTAACGAGACACAACCACTGTGTTGCCACTACCACAGTACACGCTCTCTGGTTATCTTGCTCTCATTTATTCAAATGCCCTACCTGCCCGCTCATCTCCCTTAACAAGCAACTCAAAATTTAATCATCCAACTCTATTTAAGTGAAAAAACAACAGTTATTTTCATTATGTCCATACTTAATTTCATTTTTAGTGGACCTTTTCTGTTACGGGCTTTTGCGAATGTCTGTCTTTTTAGTTATACGTAATTGTTTCACTGTGTGCGTCTCTCGGTATGTGTGTACGTGTGTATGTGTATTTGTATGTATATGTATACGTTTCTGCTGTTTTTAGTCTCATTGTTGATGTTTTGTTTTGCGCCAGAGGGTTAGTGTGACTCTAGTTTCTTACTTTTTCTGCCTCCATCTCTTTTTATAAACCTCGTGGGAATATTACCAAACGTATTTGTTAAAATGTGTTTTACTCCAACATCTAAACAGTCATTTTGTTGTAGTACGGTATTAAATATGTCTGTCTTACTTAAATTTTATATATAAATATGCGTGCGTTTATGTGTGTGTGTGTGTGTGTAAGTTAGCAAAATGCTGATGATGACCTCGGCCAAAGCAATTAATAGTATGGAGTATACAGACAACAGGTTTATTGTTGAATTACATTTATATATATCTGCATAAACAACTACATATACGTATACATATATAAATATATAATACATCGTAATATTCGCACACATGCATGCAAGCACATACCCAAACAGGTGTAGAGAGAGAGAGGGAGAAAGAGAAAGAGAAAGAGAGAAAGAAAGAAAGAGAGAGAGAGAGAGAGAGAGAGGGAGAGAAATAGATTTATATGATTTTACCCCGAATGAAGAGCATAACGTTACGAATTTTTAGTACATGTCGACATTGTGTCTGTATATGCCGAGCAAATTGTCATAATTGCCAAAAGCAGTAACAAATTTCGGCATTTCAAAGTATTGACAGTTCATCTATTATGGGTATTTCTTATGTAAAATATTCACATAAGCATTTTCAATAATTCAATGCAATTCCATAATTGTATAACAGGAACGGGTAAGTGCTCTACTGAATCTCTACAAAATGTAACCAAATATTTTTATTTATTTACTTAGTCTTATGACTAAACATACGAGCCAACTTGCTGTTGCTTTCAAGCAATAGTTTGAAAAGTATTTTAGCAACACAACATTCGAAGTGCTTTTGTTTCGATTTATTATGCATTCCTGTCCTTTCTCGTCAATCAGGCAATAGATATCTTAAAATTCGTCTCATAATACTTCACTTTGAGTACACTGCCGGACTACAATTATGAGATACTACTCTTCCTAGAACTGTCTAGCCTATAACTTTTTCTTACAGCTCTACTCCCCAAAGTAGCTGAGTTAAGGTATGTTTGAGAGACAATTTTCGATTCGATTGACATACATTAATAGCGAACGCTTATATTTATGTTTGTATTCATCTTGCCTAATACAGTACTTTCATTAAAGAGGTCTGTGTGCAACCAACAGAAAAGCCGATTTAGATTGCGTTGCCGATCAGATAGTGTTTTGCAGAACGTAAAAAAGGCCACACAAATTGCCAAGATGAACGTTAAGACAAAGCAGCTTTCTTTCTCCAAACTTCAAAAAAAGGCTTCGTTAGTAAACGTTTAGACAGCAATAAGGAGATGAAGCCTCCGATTTATGGCTATTTCGAGGACTTCAACGGCTTTTAATATAAGCAGGATATCGAAACTGTTAAATATCGGTTTCAAATGTGTTTCGAGCAGAAGTAAATTAAAGATAGTTTTTTTT